AAGTGTGCGTATTTGGTTAAATGATCCACCACAACCAAAATGGTGTCAAACCTCTTTGATTTTGGCAGTCCAGCAATAAAATCCATAGACAAATCTTCCCATACCTGATCTGGGATTGGTAATGGAGTCAGCAGCCCTGCAGGAAGTAAATTTTGATACTTATTCTGCTGACACACACTACAAGCCTTCACAAAATTCTCCACATCTTTGCGCATTCCTTTCCAATAAAACAAAGCTGACACCCTCTTATAAGTTCTCATTTCCCCTGAATGACCACCCCAAGGTGAAGAGTGAAATTCTTCCAAAATAGTGGGCAACAATGGAGATGATGAGGAATGACAATCCTATCTTTATATCACAAGCAACCCTTAGCCACAAAATATCCAGGATGTGAAGACGAATCCTTTAAAAATTCTGTCATCAACTTTTTAATACCCGGATCATTGAGAGCCTCCTCTGCTAGTGTTTGCAGATCTGCACTGGTGGTCACTGACAACATTTTACGGTCCATGACCCAAGACAATGCATCAGCAACCTTATTCTCCAACCCAGGTTTGTATTGAATTTCAAAATCAAACCCCATGAGCTTAGCTACCCATTTTTGTTGTCCCTCCACCATCAACCTCTGTTCTGTCAAGTATTTGAGGCTCTTCTGATCTCCTCACAATAAAATGGCAGCCCAACAAGTAATGACGCCATTTTTGCACTGAAAACACAATTGCTTTAAGCTCTTTCTCATAAACAGATAAGGACTTATCTTTTTTTGAAAAAGCTTGACTGAGAAACGCAATTGGATGCTCTCTTTGCATTAACACTGCTCCCATTCCCACCCCGGAGGCATCTGTCTCCACAACAAATATCTCATCAAAATTTGGTAGTGCCAACTCCGGTAACTGCATCATGGTCTCCTTCAATTGCTCAAAGGACTTCTGAGCTACTTCATCCCACACAAAACTGTCCTTCTTCAACAACCTAGTTAGAGGACTAGCTATGTGACCATAATTCTTCACGAATCGTCCGTAGTAACCCGTGAGGCCCAAAAATCCCCTCAACCCCTTCAAAGTGGTTGGGACTGGCCACTTTTGCATTGCTTCAACCTCGGCAGAATCAGTTTTCTCTCCCAGTCCAGAAATGATATGCCCCAAATATTCCAATTTTGCCTTTGCAAAACTGCATTTTTTTATTAGCCACAAAAAAAATTTCTTTTAACACCTCCAGCACCTGACACAAATGTGTCCAACGAGAGTCTTCATCACTACTATAGATCAGAATGTCGTCAAAAAAAACCAACACAAATTTGCGTAGAAAGGGTTTAAACAATTCATTCATCAGTGATTGGAATGTGGAAGGGGCATTACATAAGCCAAAGGGCATCACCAAATATTCGTAATGACCCTCATGAGTCCTGAAGTCTATTTTCTCAATATCTTCCTCCCTCATTCTGATTTGATTATAGCCAGATTTTAAATCTAGCTTAGAAAAAATAGAAGCTCCCTCTAGTTCATCCAACAATTCATTTATCACTGGTAGTGGAAATTTGTCAGGGATAGTCACATGATTGAGCGCTCTATAGTCCACACAAAATCTCCAACTTCCGTCCTTCTTCCTGACTAAAATCATAGGACTAGAGAATGGGCTAGTACTGGGCCTGATCCACCCTACAGACAACATCTCCCTCACAAACTTCTCCAGCTCTTCCTTCTAATAATAAGGGTAGCAATATGACCATAAATTCAGAATATTGGCCCCTTCCTTCATTGTAATACGTTGGTCACCAGTTCTTTGTGGGGGTACCCGTGAAGGATCCTTGAACACTTCTAGAAATTTTTCAATGACCTTCGTGGCCATGCCTCCAGGAATAAGAGGGGACCCTTCATTCAATCCTACGTACCCCAACTCCGCATAGTAATTTTCCACTCCTTTTTTGAGAGTTTTGCTCAATTTTTTACAGGAGATGAGCCCTCTCGAACAATTTAGGATCTCCACGTATTTCAACCGTTTTCTCTCCTTGAGGCACCCGCAAGATTAAGTCTCTGAAATTTGCCCTGACTTCACCCAATCCCTCCATCCAGACGAAGCCCAAAATAACATCCACCCCTTTCAGTTTGAACAAGAAAAAATCTTGAGAAACAGACATACCTGGAAGGTTCAGTTGCACTCTCTTGCACGTCCCATGGCATCGAACCTGATTGCCATCCCATATAGTAATGGATGGACTTTCCTCAGCATTCACCGGTAGATCGAGTTCCGCTGCTAAGCGAGCAGCCATAAAATTATGCGAAGCACCAGTGTCGATCAAGATTGTGACTCGTCTCCCTTTAATCTCACCCCACAGCATGAGTGAGCGATTAGAAGTAAAACCCGCGATGCTATGTACGCTCAGTTGAAGATTCTCTACTGCTTCAGCTTCATTGGTGTTGGACCAATCCAGGTCACCTTCCTCGACATCTTCCTTACCAGCCAACATCACATGCAGTTGCGCTTGCGGGCATACGTGATCTGGTGAAAAGGGGCCATCACATCGGAAGCATAAATTCCGGCTACGCTTTTCGTACCATTCTTCCGGTGACAGACGACGGAATTTGTTGCCTCGATTTCCACCACCACCGCTAGGACTCCTCACGTTACCGACACTAAAGGATGCGTCGTTTCTGGGGTTACCAGAAGACCCCATCTCCTTTTGTTGGCCAACACTTTGGGTTATGCTATTTGGGCCCAGCACCGTTGGCCCATTATTTGTTTCATCCACACTATAATGGGTCCGGCTATCTGAAGTGCCCCCAGGTCCAAATCGACTAGGAAGCGTCGTACGCGCATAATGTGGCCCATTACCATTAGTAGGCCCACTTCCTCCCCTTCCATTTTGGGTACCCATTTGGCTCCGGACCCTTTCCCTGTCCTCCACCCTCTGTGACATTACCATCATTCTGCCCAGATCACTCAAGTCATGGAGCTTAATTTCAGCTCGAATCTCTTCGTGCAAACCGTTAAGGAACACCGCTTGCAACACGTCCTCGTCAGCTTGCCTAAGCGGAGCGGATAATAGTTCGAATTTTTCTCTGTACTCAGAGATAGTCCCCTGTTGACGAAGGCACATCAGAGCTTCGTAAGGGTTGCCTGAAGAAGACGGATGAAACCGTTCCAAGATTGCAGCTCGGAATGCTCCCCAAGTGATAGTCGGATTCCTCTGCTCCCACCACTGGAACCAATTGAGCGCCCTTCCTTCCAAACACACCGACGCTGTCTCTACTTGCTCTCCGGCTGTAATCCGGTTAATGCAAAAGTATCTCTCCGCACGATAAAGCCAACCGTATGGGTCATCACCTGAAAAGTACGGGACCTCCACTCTTCGTCTCCGTTCGTTTTCTCTGCCAGGACCATGGTTTCCCTCTCCTTCGTTCGTATCGTTTTCCCCTGCCTCACCTTCACCATTTCCATTGAGACTCCCATCAACTTGTCGGTTCATCCTTTCCAGAACTTGAGTGAGCAAATCGTTCACCCAATTCATCGAAATCTCCAACCCTCCTATTCTCCCAAGAACGCCTTCATTGCGTTGCTCCATCGCTACTAGCCTCTGTTCAAACTCGTCGACTCTAGTCTCCATTCGGGATCGAACCATTCAGATCTCCCACTGGATCAAATGCTCTGAATACCAATTGATGGTACTGGTAATAAGAAACACAGCAAATATATTGTATATAATGGGAAAACCCCTTCTTCCAAACTCCAATTCTTCTCACAAGACAATGAAACAGTAAGCAACAGACTCAGAGACACACTTTTAATGGAAATAGACTCAACGAGACACTTTAATGAAAATGGACTCAACGAGACACATTAATGAAAGATGATTGACAAAATACGCAGCTACTCTACCAGCACCTCCAACATAGAACAGACTCAATGACGAAGAACAACCCCACTCCCCATCAAGCTACCCCAACCATACCATGTTGCATACGTCCTAACTGCCCTCCTCTCTCTCCCTTCCCTCCTCTATAACAAATTCCCCTCCAATATTTTCACCCACCAAATCCTCTCCATTCAAAGCCTTCTACGTGTCATCCCTTATAACAAATTCTATAGGCCTCACATCTGACCCATAACCAGTTTATTCTTCTTTTTCTTACGTTGATATACGTTCATCAGTGGCCCAACAGTGACTACCAAAATGAATAGTACAGCCATATTGTATTATTAAAGCAGTACACTTAGTCCAAACCAGAAGAATCAATATATAAAAGGCTGCGGAAGATGCTTAGTATATTGAAATAACTTGCACCTAAGGATTTTAGCTACTGCAAGTTCTTTGCAATTTTTGGTGCTATAAGGGAACAACTTGTGAGATAGGCTAAATCCAGTGTTTACAGAACTAACTCAAACAAGGAAAATGCAAACTTCTGAAAAGACCACACAATAACCTCACATGAACATAATGAAAAATTAAGTTTGTCTGAATTAAAGAAGCAGAAGTAACTTCCACACAAGTCCTTATTATCAAGTATAGTGAGCCAGACTTAATGCCTTGGCCTAATGAGCTGCCTGGCACAGCATCATCACTCCTGAAGCCAAGACATAGATTGAATAGCATTTTTATATTCAGAATATTGTTCTTTATCCATAATCCAATAATAAATGAGAAAGAAAAGCAGACTAATGCCACACCAACAAGGAATGCAATGCATATTTATTTATATTTCAAATTCCCAAATGATTTTCTTTTCAAAAATATCCACTTTCAGTCAAATTTTATATACATGATGTAATAACTTCAGAAAATGCAGAGAGAACCCATTTAATTTTTATTAAACCATATAAAATTCATAAATTCACAAATTGTCGTGTCAAATTCATATCTGAGCACAAATATTACAACTAAAAACCATATGCAAGACAAGAAAAAGCTGAGGTAAAATAGACATATAGCTGAAGAAAATACTCTGTATGAATAGGAACAGTAAATATTATATCCGAAACTTAAATAAGTAAAGAGAACTTACATTCTGTTACATGCAATTGAAGCAGACAAGTTAAATATTGGAACTGAGCTTAAGATAAAACGAAGCTCCTGCAGTGTCCATCAAAATAAAGTTACATACGAGTTTCAGTTTAAAGAATGGTACAAACGAAATCATGGATTTCAGATTCTAATTATGGTACCTTGTGGGGAAGCTTAGAATAAAGCAAAATGAAGGCAAGAACTGGGAAAGTGAAAGACCGAACCCTTTGGTCTACAAAGAGACCAAACTGCAAAGAAGACAGCTTGTCAAGTTATTTAAGAAATTATTTGCCGAATCTCCACCAAACGACACAACTTATACATAAGCTTTCTTCCCTGTGAATTGTCATCGTGATACATAAATACAAGTAACATTTTTATAGTGTAGAAAACACGGTGATTGATATTTCAAAAATCTGGAAAAGCAAGACAAAAAAAAAATGATTGAAATGCAAGAAATTGAGAGCCTCAAAGGGAATCATATATACGAGCTTAAGAAATTTAAAAAGAGTCTAAGGAAAAGACACAAGCCTCAAAATGACATGATTTTAAATATAGCCTTCACAGCCATGTACCACAATTATCTAAAACAGCGTTGCTTTACACATGGGATGCCAATAACATGAATGAAATGCAAAACCAATAATGTAAATGGAATAACTCACTACATTTTTAATTGTCTTGTGTATATATTTCTCCCAATCCACAATTAATCAATTATTTATTTCTTTTCATCGTTGAAACATCTCTATCTTCCAGGACAACTGCTATATTAATCACACAACAAGCTCAATCCTCAACGCATTTTACTATGACTATCCACAGTCCAAATATCCCACTATCTTTTAAACAAGATCTTCAAGAACATACATGACTTAGTGCATACATGCTAGATGCTTGAAATGGGTGAGAACATATAGGGAATAAACTGAAATGAAGTATTCAAAGCAAATGGGCAATAATTATTCTACAATAATTTCATAGTTCAAACATAAATCATCAAATATAAACCCTTAAGTAGCAGCTCAGACTAGACAAAGGAAATTTTGGGTTTTACCTTTAGAGATAATAGAAAGTTTGGTTTTAAGAAAAATACCCAAAATATACCATATTGAAATGACAAAATATTTATCTATTCAGTCGAAGTGCAATAAGCCACCACATCAAGTTAGAAATCTACATAAGAAGCAACAAGATGATCATTAAGGAGGATATTTTGTAATCCAAGAAGTTACCAGTGAAAGAGGATACGCAGCAAGCAGTGAACGAGGGAGTGCTGAGGTGAAGTACCAGTGGAAAGCATGCGTCTAACAAAAATATTGTGAAGGAACATAAAAAAAAATATCAAATAGAAATGGAACAATACTATCAAAAGTGACAAACAGTATGTACGTTCATTATGCCTCATCCACATGAAAAACAGAGAAAATTCACTACGATCAATGAAGATTACAAGGAGTAGCCATTCAACATCCAAACCAATGTTGTGAAAACCGGACCGGACCGGCCGAGTCGACCCGGAATTCGGTGAACCGGGCATCTGACCGGTCCGGTTATCACATTGGACCGGCCAAGTACCAGACCCGGTCTGACCCGGTGCGACCCGGCCGGTTTTGGTGAAAACCGGTGACCCGGCCGATAAACCGATGACCCGACCCAGGTTTTTAAAAAAAAAAAATCATAATTAACATATTTTTGTGATATGTTACTTATTGACTACATAAGTTGTGTATCTACAATACTAATATTATCTCAGTTATGCACTATGTAAGAAATTTTGGTTTGATTTATAGTTAGAGATGTCGTTTACTGAACCTGAAACACTAATATCACAAACATTATATGTTTGTTTGATCCTTTATTGGACAATAATGTATAATTTATTATTTTTATATTAAAATATTTAGAATTTATATTATTATTTTTAACTATTTGAGTATGTTTATAATTTTTTTAATATAAATTATAGATTTAAATATAATCACCGGGTCATGCAGTTGAACCAGTGACCCAATGACCCAGTACCTCGACCGGGTCAATGACCGGGCCGGATTTAATAACATTGATCCAAACCCAAAGCCCTATAAACTGAAATCCTCACTATTGCGGAAATACACCCCAAATCTCTTTGAAAAACCCTTCTTGTGTTGTGTTCCCCTGCTGGCTTTCAAGTTCAGCCAGTACATAATTAAATACGATCCACTTAATAACAGAGATCTTAGTAATCACAGGATTTCTGAAAAAAGTAGCCCAAGGATTGCCACCTAAAGGAAATCCCAAGTGAAGGGGCACTGCAAAGATTTACAGCATCCAGAGAAGCAAAGGAAGAACGGACATAGCTGTCCACATTTAAACCAACCAAACCACTTTTAGTCAAATTAACCTACAAATTAAAGATAACAAAAAATTTTTAATAGAAACAGCATTAACACAAGTATCATCATCATCAAACTAAAGGTGGAAGACCATAACCTCCTCCAAACCAACTCCAATACCCTTAACGATATCCCTATCCACAAGCATTGGAAAGGATATGGCTTAGAATGTCAACCTCTAAACGAACAAGAAAGGGGATAAAAGATTCCCTCATCAGACTCTTGATTATCCTTTAAACTAAGCCTTAGCTTCAACATTCACAATCATAGAAAAGTAGCAAATGAGAGAACCAGAAGAAAATTGAATATACTCTGCTCATGAAATATGTATAACATATATTTTCATTTTCTACAACTATGCAGTTGTTCCATAAAACCTCTTTAAAGGATACTCCCCATTCAGAACTCTTGTTTAGTACAGAGTTAAACCAAAAGACTTCAAATTCAGGCCATAATAACCTTTTCCACATAATTGAATCAGCCAATATGGTTAGACCTGTATGTAAGAGACCTTGATGTCAGAATCAACCTTTATTTAAATTACTGATCAAATTAAAAAAAAAAAACATGTCACTGACCTACACAGAAGAAGGCCATTGCAGTGCAGCGTTTCAGAGCTCCCCAAAGGGAAACTTTTTTTGTCTTCCCTTCAAGAGATGAATCGTATTAGGCATAAAGCTTGATCAAGTTAACTTAATAATGGAATTGTCAGAGCAAATTTTCAATTTTATTTTTACAAGAATTCAACCAAAAGTGCAAGGCCAGGAAAAATTCATCAAACAGAACAATTAACTTCAAATGCCAAATCCAATAAACACTATTCTCCAACGATTAATTACCACATTAAACCTAGTTAAAGCAATGAAGTTCTATATTTAAATTTTAAATAAATGTTATACATAGAGTTATAGGCCGAGCCTGGAACAGTGGTAAAGCTATTCCTTTGTGACTGAAAGGTCACGGGTTCGAATCCGAAAAATAGCCTCTCAGCAAATATATAAGGGTAAGACTGCGTACAAGAGTTGCCCTCACCACACCCTTGCTAGTCGGGGTTTAATGGAGAGTGATGGTTATATATAGAGTAAATAGGAAACATATCAACACCTTCCCTAATCATCCTATAATCTCTGAGATAGTAATAATCTATGTAGCACCGATACTTCAAAAAAAACTGAAGTGTCAATGTCGAACACGCAACACGCTCCGACATGCTCCCGATACGTGTCCGACACTTGGTCAAAATTTTTGACACGTTGACCAATCCGATACGCGAATTTGACCGTGCTGGTGGCATTTTTGTAATAAATTTATAATTTTAAAAAAATAAAAATATATTAATAAATTTTTAAAAAATTAAAAAACATTTAATAAAAAGTTAAAAATAAGTGTTTTTTCATTTTCCTTCTCTCTAATAACAAAATCCACAACCACAGGAGACGTGACAACCCATTTTTCTTCCCTCTAATAGTAATAACAAAACCCTAAGTTTCTGACTAAGTCTCAAATTTGACAAAGCAACGGAAGTTCACCAGAATGCAAAAATAGACAACTTGCTGATTGGAAGTCCCAAATTTGAAATTACTTGTGAAAATAAATGTAACACCCTCAAATTTCTAAACGTATTTTTTTATATATTTTGATAAATTAGTTTATTAATTTATTTTCTATAAAATTTGTATTCAGTTTCCCTAATATTTTGAAAGAGTACTGCAAACCAAGTTCCGAAATATATAATTTAACATCAAATTTAAATTAGTTACCATCGTAGCTATTCTTGTTTGTATTCATGACTACTCAGAATTGTATACATATGTAATGAACTCATTAGATATCCTCCAAACCAAAGAATTGACAGATATCTAACATGGAGGTTAAGCACAATGGCAATTTGACAAGATCTCTATAATGCAGCTCAAGCCTTTAAGGAGAAATGGATAAATTTAAAGCAAGTAATAGAAAAATGCAACATACCAAAAGAAGTTGTAGCCCAAGGGGACAAAGAAGTAACAGCATGTCACATCTGAATACAGTTGTAGCAAAAATCTGATAATCAGAAAGAGCCAACAGATTATTTCAGAAACAGCGAAGCATATCAAACATCCTAATAATTGAAAAGGCCCATTAATTCTAGAAACCATTCTCGGTATTAACACTAAAATGGTTATATATTTGGAAAAAAAAAAAATTAAGAAAATGATATATTGAACTACTAAAAGCAAGGTTGTCGAATTCATAAGTTACTGAAACTTGAGCGGGTATATAAATTCAACTATTAAACTACAAGAGTTCACATATATTAATATATACACAGAGCAGTGGGTCCACAAAAGATATTTGAGGGGCAGTATTTAACATAATTTTAAAAAAATACAAGGTTTTAATACATTATAACAATCATCTAAGCCAAACACAACTTTTAATCTTTTATATTATAAAATTTAAAATGTTTATAAGATTTTAATAATCATTCTCTTGATTTAAATAATTGAAGTAGTGACAAACTCATTATTATATTTATTTATTTGGGTTTTTTGTTTTACAATATTAAGTTATAAATGATCTCTGACCTTCAAATTTAGTTTTGAATGAAAAATACCACAGATACGAGATACCTGCAGATACGACAGATACCACAGATACGAGATACCTGCATTTTCCTCCACAGATGAAACAGAATAACCACCAGTAGAGTTAATGCTATCTAATTACAAATCTTTTGAACTCCTATGTGATTTCAGGTCATGGGCATAATTTAAATTTTTTCTCAGCATTATTACTAATTTACTATTGCTAGAAATGTTTTCATCATCTGCTTCAACTTCTTCAATAAAAACTTTTTCAGTCATCCATTCACGTCAGGGGGGAGATCATCAAACTATTTTTTTTTTCTTCAATAAAATAGTAATAGCAATAAAGTTACAGTTCTATTCCTGTGTTTCTATCACTTTTAAAATCACACTTTGGAAGTTGGAACTAAATCAACACAAGGCTGATTACCCTACTAAACAATAATCACTAGTAGGTAACCAATATTGGCTCAATGGAATTCATGTGTTATAGCACAGACTTAGTTCACATACACATAAAAATTAGAATTAAGAAGTTTTGTCAATCCATAGAATACAGAGAGTCAAATACCAAATAAATATCTCACCAAAAAAAGAAACAGTAAACTTGATAATATAAGTTGAACTTTTCTCTTTAAAGATAGTGATTTTACTGTAAAAGACTAGTTTAAGAAATCAATTCTGGCACGGAATATTTAATCACAAAATTCCGGCATTGCAAAAATACATATATGACTCGAAATGACAAAAGTTACGTTAAGAGCTTATAATATTCAAAAGAGAAATTAAGATTTTGTACCCAATGTGAAACTGAAATAAAACCACACGACATACATACCAGAGAATTTAGAGCTGCATAAAAGCGTCCCTCAAACCAGTATCCATATGCCAAATTCACTGCAAAATAAATCAAGAGAAAGTACAGCGCCATGACATTGACTCGCACATAGGAGAAATCCCTTATAAAGTTGTAAATGAAATTTTCAGGGAAAATTAAAATAAATCAAAAAAATACAAAATTCGCTGAATTAATGCAACAAGAATTGTTCTTTCATAATTTATAAAATTTTCTCCGAACAATGACCAAAATGCCACGTTTTGTCAAATTTTTTAACCAAATGCCACGCGAACAGTATTTTTTACCAGACTGCCACGTGTCATAATTCGCTACCACTGGTAGCGAATTTCGTTGCCAATAATTTCATGACACATGGTCATATTGCAGACCAAATTCGCTATCAGTGGTAGCGAATTATGACACGTCATCTTTTTCCTGCGAAAATGTGCTACATGTCAAAAAATCATTCGCGAACATAATATGCTACACAGGGTAGCGAATTACTACCTGCTTGACACGTGTCATTTTTGCTGACTGTGCATTCTGACGTTGCATAATTCGCTACACTGTGTAGCAAATTATTTGCAAGCATATTTCGCTACACAATGTAGCGAATTATCCCACGTGGCATTCTGGAAAAATTTACTGTTGGCGTGGCAGTCTGGTAATTTTTTTGGTCAGGCGTGGCAAAATGGTCACTGTTCCAATTTTCTCACTGTCTGTCTAACGTATTTTCCTACCAACAATACATGATCAAAATTTCTTCCTCTCGTGCAAAAACCTTTTGGACTTGAAGCATGGTCAATGCATAGTCCACCTACCCCATGCTGAAATTCAACTTTTATTTAGAAGAATGGAAGCAATAACGAACAAACCCTTGATCATTTGGTCACATAATCTCTCAGATACCATGACAGTAACCAACTCTCTAAAAGCTTGAGGAGAAGGCTCATGAGTGTCTACACTATAAATAAATTTAACCTAAAATAAATAAAAATAAGGTTATTGGATAGCTATTTGAAGTAACAATTTACAAGACTTCCCAACTCTTTCTCTATTAACTATATAACCTACAATAATAGAAAATTATGCTTAGTGGATAAAGTCACACAATTCATTAATTCTCTCTTTATTTTGTAAATAAAAATAAGTGAATAGTTATTCAGATGGCTCCATGTCAAGACAATCAATAATAGATAAATTAAGGTTATGGATTTTTTTGGTAATGCCTAACAGTTCATACTAATTTGTACAGCTATACTTTCACTCTCCACCACTACAAAAAAGCTCTCCTGCTCATATCTTTTGCCTAAAACGCAAACAAACAAACAAACAGAAAAATTTCATTATTTAAAAGGGAAGTACAAAACTGAAGGACAAGAAATCGTCCCTATAAAATATCTAGTGCTTAAGCTGTTAGCTAGAGGCTTAATAATGGCTTTTACCTCAAACTCCCTACCCAACATCCAAAAGCCCTTTTGGGGCTGAAGGTGGAATGTGGACTACTTGCACAGGCTCACTCAATCCTCATAATGATGTTATTAAAATCATGTTGGAAGAACGGGGGCAACACCACTTAGTCATAGAGGCTCTAATACCATTTCAAAAACCAAATCAACCCCGAAGTTTATGATGTTAGCCAGGGGCCCAAGAATGGCTTTTATCTCAAACAAAACTCACCTGAAGAAAAAGCCCATTAGCATGATATCCAACACAAACTACCCACCCACCCTCATCCCCATAGAAAAAACTCAAACCCAAAATGAAAGACAAGAAAATACCGATATACCATATGAGATGTAGAGTTAAAAAACATAGCGAGAAAACTCTTAATTTCTGTTCTGGCCAACTAAACTAACCAAAAAAATAAAGTGCACTTCCAAGAAGGCGAGACCACAATGCACTTCCTTACCAATACCTCAAAAATGGGTGGGGGAAAAATTCCAAAATAGTAATGGAGACCCACTGCTCATCCAAAAGCCTTATTCCAAAGATGCCAAGCATCGCATAATGTACAATGAAAATATTTTCAGTCTCCAACCTAAGAAAACGCACAACACAAATGTCCAACAATAAAGCCTTATGCGGCTTCTATGTACCAAAAAAAAAAAATGCCTCATGTGGCCTATATGCCTGAATCATATCATTCTTTTTTTGACTAAAACAAGAAATTCTCTTTGTAGAAATAATATGCCCTTTCCTAGAATCAGGTAGGATACCAATGCAATGACTTACTTCCTTTTTGGACTAAATGCCCCTATATATAAATCTTGCATTCTGGGTCTTTTACCCTGGTGTTAACAAGTATCATGTTGTCATTAAAGAATAACAATAATATTGGCAGGAAAATTTCGAAGCAAGACAAGCAAAGTAGTTACCTATACCCAAAGCAAGAATGTTAGGAAGTGGACGAGTACAATAGAACAGAAAGTGAAACTGAATGGCAGTTAGTATCACAAAGAAGGCTTCTACTTGATGCCCAAATTTGTTCCTTATCTGCATCACAAAGAACATGATTCAGGGAACATACTAAACTTTGTTTTGTCTTAATCTTATACAACTTATTTTAAACTTCAATGGCTTGGAGCAGATACAAAACAGATTCTCAAACCATGAAAGGGAACATATATAGCATCTATAAATGTTGTTAATACTCATGAAAGGTATTAGCAGCCAGCATAGATTCTTTTATTAATTTTGGTAAAAAAGAATTTACTAATTGAAAAGAATACAGAAAAAGAGAAAGGGAAACCTCCTAACAGTGCAGCAAAAAAAAAAAAAAAAAGATATGCATCAGCATGAGAATTTCCCAATTCCTCTACAGAGTCATCAAAGAAACAACTCCCCCTTCTAAATAGTTTACAAGCAAAAACCCAAGAAGTCAAGAAAGCAATTTTATCCCATATAACTTCGCATGGAAGGAATTCTGATTTAAAACTCAGACATGATGCTCTAGCCAAATGAGCCAAAGCTCTGCAAGCATAGCAAATCAGCAATAGCCATAGGGACCTTAACTCCTTCATCCTCCCAAAGGCACAAACACTTGAAAACGAAGAGACGATGCACATTGGGATTGGTCAACAGAAAAAAATATTTGGTCACTACTCAAGACAAAACCTTTTTGACGACAGGGAAACTCAAAAGGACATGAGCCCCCAAGAAGTGGAAAACATTTCCTGCTGTCAAAGAGACAAATTCTGATGTGTAATACCCAATCATTTATTACCCTCCTATTACTACCAACCCCTCTATTTAACTGCCACCACCTGTAGTAGCTGCAGATCAGCCATCTTCCAATGGAAACTCTCCTCAAACCTGCTACATGACTACAATTACCATGATATGCACTTGCTGGTCATTATATACAAACATAATGTTCATCTGACCTGTTAGCAGAATAATATCAGTGTAAGTCACTGAAAATTTTATTGGGCATGTTATCAAAAGTTGAACTAATTAAGCTAAATCCTTATTTTTATAAAAGAAGAAATTCATTAAGATGGGGAGCAGAAAATTACAAGGAAATTTGAGGATAAGGATCCTCCATAACCAAAAAACAACAAAGAAAAAGAGAAAACATCTATGGAGTAAAGCAACCCAATCCCTTTGGATTCTATTACAACCCCCTTAAATAGACCTGGTGCTTACACCACATATAAGCTAATCACCTAATCCTATCACAAATCAGCCCAGCAACTAATTCAAAGTAACCTACTTAGAAATGTGAACATTATCGAATTGCTTGAAACAACTTTTTGGTATGAGAAAACTTGGTGCAAATTTAAAAAAGAGAAACTATGCATAGGGTACGAGGAACTTGGTGCAAACCACTCAATCAATGATTCCAGGGGTTAGTATTTATGAAGAATTAAATATAATGTGTTAGCAAAGTCTTCTTCTCTTCCAAGGTACTAATTGCTACCTGTCTTGAATTATTACATAATGTACACCATTTTAGACATAACTTTCTCAAAACCCAGCCACTGAAAAAAAAATGGAGCTATTTAATCCTTTCTCTAAATATGATGACAAGTTAAGCAAAAGAAATCATGTCCGTGAAGATTTTAAAATGATATGCCAAAAGACTCTATCGCCTACTAATGAAACTTAAACTTTAATTGGATAAGTAAGATATCAGACAAATAAATAAACACTGGTTCATGAAAAAAAAAATTACATCAATTTACTTACTTAAGTATTCTGTATTAATTATCAACAGAAGTTAAAAAAAAGAAAAGGGCCAAAGGTACATACCTGATGACGAAAGAATCTTAACGTATATAGTGTGATGCTTCCTAGGGCCATCCGAACTAGATATCAGCAATAAGACACATTGGCTTATTTTGTATAAAATATATGTGAGGAAATTTTAGTGAAAGAAGTTATGCAACAGCTGGTGATAAGAAAAGTCAAAAACAAAAAAAATTGAAAAAACATATATCAACAGAACCAAATTAATCAAATACACATGAAGCAAATCTTTAACTAGTATACAGTGTATTAACGTCCCTACCACATTCTCAAGTGACATATAGCACAGAAGAACGAAAATTGACACCACTTTTGATAATTTCGAGCATTTCGCCATGTTCTATGACTATAAACTCAGTCACGAATTGTAACTTACTTGATTTGATTAGTCAATTCAATTATGCACATTTAACGCAGACATTCCATGCAACAAATGCTCACAAGACTAAGAGAATAATGAAAGACAACATAGACCAAAGGCTAAGTGAAAGAAGTACAATATCACAACTGTTATTTGAGTTCCTATTTTCCCGGCCCCGCTAAAGGATAGCATTTTAGACTTTAAACTTTTTGATCATTAGCATCAGTCTTTCTTTCAATTTAAACCAAATGAAAGGGGGGGGGGGGGGGGGGGGGGGGGGGGGGGGGGGGGTTGTTGAACAGCTTTCTCCAAAATGAGGAAAATTAAAATAAGCAAAAATCGAAGTGCAATGATTGTCAAGTATGAAAGAAAGCTACCTATGAGAAGAGCATAAAACTTTGGCAAATGTAGCAAACTTGCAGTTAACACAAACGGAGCTGCAACGAGGGACACAAGCAAAGCACCTAAAAGAAAATGCAAATTATATAAGATACAATATAATAATAAAAAAAAGAACTAATACACTTTGCAAAATCTCAATGTAAACAATCCAATTGAGCTTAAAGATAAGCATGATTCAATTTCCAATACTAAACAAACTAGAATAACGAGTCACAAAACATGCTAGTTATAAAATAATATACTGAAATCCTATAAGTTGACTCTTTACAATATGGTCAAAATGAGAGAAAATGCTAGAAAAATACAAAAACTTACCAATGAAAGTGCGAGGAACCACACCAGGGAATTCCAGATGATCATACTTGTCGAAGTGAAGCCGGTGATAAAGAATATCGTGCATTGCCTTCACGAAACACAGAAAAAAAAAATAAGCTAACATGTTCAAAGAGAAAAAGATCTACCAAAGAATATATATATATATATATATATATATAGAGAGAGAGAGAGAGAGAGAGAGAGAGAGAGAGACCTGAACGTTGAAACTCTCTTCGACTTTAGTGTAAGGCACCATGAGTACATAGAAAGTAGCGATTGATCCCAACAGTAAATCGTAACCGTAACGTTCGAGAAACGTCCCCGATTTGGCATTGGAAGCCATTGTTTTTGGTTTGTTGCAGAGTGACTGAGTGCAGAATCTCAAGTCTCGACACTACAAAATGATGAAATGGGCTTATTGGGCTTTTCAGATGTCTTGGCTTTCTTTCACTAGCCCTGTTGTGTTGTGGAGCGTTTCGCAGGGAAGATATTTTTTTTTATCAGAAAAAAATGATTTTCGGGAATGCAGGAAAAAAAAAAATTCCGATGAAGAGATGTTTGGTAAGTCCAAAAAAATTCGAAAAAGTTGAGTTAATTTTACTGATATTATATTTGGTTGATTGTAAAATATTAATGAGAATCTGAAGCGAAATGACAAAATTATCCATTTTTACATATCCGCCGATATATTGTATAAGGGTATTTTTGTCTCAAAATGTGAAAATATGTTTCCCAATTGATGGGAAAAAAATAATACCATGAGTGGGATGGGATTATTTTTTTACCAAATATGGTAAAAAAAAAAATCTTCATCCCATTTTCCCAGCATTTCAACCGAAAACTTATACGAAACACCCTTTTTGAATTATGTAATTAGAAACTTATCTGGACCTTAGTATTTGTAAATTATGTGCACTAATTAATGAATTATACCTCATTTGTAAAATTCAGAAAATAATTACATTGTTTCATTGTCTTAGTCCAAGAGTACAATGAACACAATATCTCTCACTCGCTTAATGCAAGTTTGGGATCCTCCTAAGACCCAAAGAAGTAGCACGTCTCTTGTGTTATTCAGGCAAACTCTTAGTAACTGGGTTTACAAGATCCACCTCTAATGCTATCCTAGTTTAGTGAAAAAACTTATAACTCGAGGTCGATTTTCTTGAGTCAATATCCACTTGAAAATTGAATCTATGAAAACTCACATTTTCAAGATTCCCACTAGAATATACCAGCATATAACCACTCGTTCTCCAAAGATACTTGAGTACATGTTTAACTATAATCTAGTGTTCCTCAAGATCTAGAATGGTACCATCTCACTACTCCCGTTGTATGACAGATGTTTAGTTTAATGCCCAACATGGTATGCATGAGACAACCTATTGCCAAAACATAAGGTATTCTACTCGTGCATTCTTCTTTCTTAAGAGTCTTTAGAGGTTACTCTTTAGGAAGATGAATTCTATGTCTGAGAGACATAATTCCCCTATTGGAATTACTATGTAAAAATTTAGGCAAGATTTTTGTCAATGTAAGTAGCCTAAAGTGATGCCAACAACTTATTCTTTCGATTTTACAAGAGTTTTATACCAAGAACATAATTGGTTTCCCCAGTACTTTAATACCAAAACACTAACTTAGCCCACTATTTATGCTTGATATTACCTCCACGTTGTTTCCAATAAGGAGCATATCTTCTACATAAAGTACCAGAAAAGCTACTGCCTCATGTTGGATCCTTTACATACAAATAACAATCTAGAGTAACAATTCATATAATGAAATACTCATAACATCTTCTAGCATGAACGCTAATTGGTTCACATGTAATAGTATGTACTGTAACACCCCGTATATATCCGGTAATGTTATCATATCATCGTATTAAGCTACGCTTAATTAAAAATGTGAAATATCTTTTTCTTTTCAATTATGATATCATTAATCATTACCAACTTGATTACTTAGTCATTTTCCAAAACATCGTCTATATGTAAATTGCAAATAGACAGCTAACTGAAATACCTCATAACATAAATAACATAAGTATGTCTCTAGTCACGGAACTACAACACGTAGATCGGACAACCCTGATAGTTTATACAACTCAGTTAAACTTAAACATAACAGAAATCAAAGTGGCATGGACAAATCTCATGCTCACCCAAAGAAGGCATCAAGCCCAACATAAGTCTCATCATCAACAACATAATAATAAGGCGGAAAACATAAATAGCATCCAATCCAGTCATGTCAGCATAAATATAAACAGCAATATCAGCTAAGCTCTGGCCTCCTGCCGCTAGAGGCATCAGCCCCTAAGTTACCTGAACCTGAAATAAGCATTTCTCAAACGTGGGGTGAGATCTCTAAACATGAAATCTCAGTAAGACAAGGGGTCCTCAAGGATCTTCCACCCCAAGCTCACTTACATGTGCAATATAAGTTCCAAAAGCAGTTCATCAATATCATTTCTAAAACAGTGCAATGTAGCAGATAATCATGTCATGTGTGTCAATACTATTCTACTGGCCAGAAAAATGCAGGATTTATATACGTCTATTACCCACAAATAGTGCAAGACGCTACTTGCATCCACCACAGTCTCACCATCTTGTATGATGCTACATACTCAGGCTTACCGTCAAAGTGGAACACACATGCATATTATAAGCCATTACACGTAAAGCTCAACAGCATTTCAAATATCAAAGCATGTAACACATCATGCATATAAACCATTCCCCCATGGGGTATGGTGGAACCACACAATGGCTAAACCGAGGACACGAAAGCTTACCTTGCAAGCTAACTACCCAATGCCAAGAGTCCACACAGGCTCAAGTCCCACAAATAGCACAATCACAATCTGGACATACCATAATTAATCATCAATAATCATAGCTCAGATTACATTAAGTGATTAAGTCTTTCCTACTCATTTTAACTCATTACATGTTGTTTCTGCAGGAAGTATTCGAATACTCCACGAGTAGTATTCGAATACTCCAGCTCTCCAGAAAGTATTCGATTACTTTCATTAAAGTATTCGAATACTACCAAGTATCCGAATACTTTTCTCCCCAGTATCTGAATACCAAACCTCACTGTATTCGAATACTTTCCAGTATTCGAATACTTCTTCAAAGGTATCCGAATACTTTTCTTCCCAGAAAAGTATTCCAATACTCCTGCAAGGAGTATTCGACTACCAGTGAACAAGTATTCGAATACTACACGAGAAGTATTCGAATACTTCTTCACCAGAATGCAGAATTTTGAACAGACAACTGCATAATCCTATTTTTAAGGGTCCAAACGTGATTGGGAGTCCAATGACTCCCTAAACAGATGTTCATTACTATGTTATGAACTCAGAAACACATTCTTTTACTCAATTGGTTAAAGTTTCACTTATTAACTGATTAAACAAGCTCAAAACTCCAAAATAACAAAAAGATGATCATGGCTCACCTCAAGAGCTTCAAACTCCGAAAATGAGACACACAACGGGCACTCTACATAGCACCAAGGTTCGAACTAAGGCAAGATACGAATTTGACTACCAAGCTTGGTTCTTTAAGCCAAAAGATCACTTCTTGGCACAACTAAAGGCAAGAACAATGCTCTTACCAAAGAACCCACCAACACAGCCTTCAAAACTCCCACAAAACAGAGGCTCAACTCAGCAACAAGTGTTTCCCTCCCTCACAAGGCAAGCTCACACCAAAATATGGTGTTGAGGTGAAGAAACTATGGAGAAAGGTGGTCACTTTGGTGGAGTTTCAAGAGGAAGAAGGCTAAGGAAAGTGAAGGTGGCAATGGTTGCTGCCAACTTCAGCAAATGGAGTCACGTAGAGTGTTATAATTCTGACCTAGGGCATTGTGCCCAAGGTTTATAAAGGTCCACTCAAATTAACACACAGTATTAACAATAATAGCTACGCTTAGCATTTTAATCTTAAACTTAGAATTCTGAACCTACTCAATTTTACAAGATTTATCATATTTTTCTTATATTTTTCGCAGCACTTTTCCGGTACGCGCTTTTCCATAGCCAGTATTAGTTATGACACCAGTTCTCATTATTTTAATTTGAAACTTGAAATCACAGTCCTACATATTATTCTAGGAATAGTCATGCACTTATTATAATTTTTCGGGATACTTCATCGGTACGCATTTATACCGACTAGCAGAACCGGTATCTGCACTTTTCGTCAGAAAAGCGACTTTCAACATTAATACTCACTTACTACAATTATTAAAGCCTCATAATAATTATTAGGATAAATTATGGAATTATTTCCTAATTTCACATAATTAATTAATTAACTTTTTTAATTAACGATGCAGATTCTTACATTCACCCCACCTTTTTAGGATTTTGTCCTCAAAACCAGAATATACCTGTCTCGAAAATCGGGATATTGCCGGAGAAGCTCGTTCTCTCGCTCTCAGGTACACTCCTCAGGAGTTCTTTCTGACCATTGCACTTTGACCATCGGAAAGATCTTGCTCCTCAACTGTTTCTCGCCACGATCGAGAATCTTGAGTGGTCCGACAGGAGTTTTCAAGTTCTCCCGAACCTCCACATCACCCGGTTGCACCACGTGCGAAGGATCCGCTACATACTTGCGAAGTTGAGACACGTGAAACACGTCGTGGATGTTGGCCAAGTTCGGAGGCAAGGCAAGCCGGTAGGCAACAGGTCCTACTCTACCAAGGATCTGGTATGACCCAATAAACCGCGGGCTCAGCTTCCTCACTCCGAGTGCCCGTCCAACACCGGTGACAAGTGAAAGTCTCACAAATACGTGCTCACCCTCATTGAACTCCAGTAGTCGATGCTTGACATCGTAGTAACTCTTCTGGCGATTCTGCGCCTGCTTCAACTTTTCCCTAATCATCTGGATCTACAAGGTGGTATCTTGGACAAATTTCAAGCCAAACAACTCACGATCCCCAACCTCAGATCAGCAGGTAGGTGTACGACACCTCCTACCTTACAACGCCTCGTAGGGTGCCATGCCCAGGCTAGCATGGAAACTGTTGTTATACGAAAACTCAACCAACGGAAGGTACCTATCACATGCCGAGCCCTGCTCCAACGTGCAAGCCTGCAACATGTCCTCCAAGGTCTGGATAGTCCGCTCAGTCTGTCCATCAGTCTGAGGGTGATAGGCTGTACTCAGTCTTAAATGAGTTCCAAAAGCTTCCTGTAGCGCCTTCCAGAACCGAGATGTGAACTTCGGGTCCCTATCACTGATGATATTCTCGGGCACCCCGTGAAGCCTCACGATCTCGCGAACATATAGTTTGGCCAACTGCTCTGTAGTGAAG